AAAATATCAGGTTACTTTTCTATATAAGTATAGAAATAAATAATTGTTTATTTTATTTTGAATTTAGAATCCACAAGAAGCTGATCCATTGATGCGTCTTCAAAAAGATCTTGATGATACAAAAGATATTCTTGTAAGTTTCTTATTTAAACTATTTTAATAAGATATATTTTCTTTTCTTTTTCTGTTTGTAGAAAAAAACATTAGTTAATGTACTTGAACGTGGTGAACATTTGGATGATTTAGTTGACCGATCAAATCATTTAAGTATCGAGACAAAAGCAATTTATAAAACGGTACAACTATATTCTTTGTTTATTTATATATTAATTTTTATTTGTTTTATCTTTAGGCAAGAAAAACAAATCGATGTTGCACATTATTCTAATTCTTTATTTCCATATTGTTATCTTTATTTCATGTTAATTTCAGCAGTATTTTTTTTCTGTATTCTCTTTTTTTTTGTATAAAATGCCAGATAAAAAATCTAAGAAAAGACCATTGGATATGTTTTTTTTCCACAGATGCTCATCATTCTGATTAGAGTTTACCTAGAATTTATAATATTGTTTGTTATAGATAAGCATTCTATGAGATGAAATTGTAAATAATACAAATGATTATCCTACATATTCATTCTAATTTTCATGCTAAAGAAAAGAACAAAAGAAGAGATAGGTCCATGGGAATTAGTATTGAGTATTTTATCATTGATAGGAATTGGAAGAATGACTTCATCCTTTTGAAGTTCTAAATTGTCTATATGAAAGTGTACAAACTGGATAAATTTTAATTTCATAAATATGTAATAGTACTGTGTAGATAGAGATTGTAATGATTTAGTCGTTAGTTCGATAATAGAAAGCATTGCACTTATAATTTCTTCATTCAGAAGATCAAAATTGATATTTTCCTAATGATTTGCTGTTAGATTTTCAAACTCGAGGAAATCGTCCAAGACAAAATATGAGTTGTTATTTCGAATCTTCAATGATTTTTCAAAGAACTTGTTTCAACTGTAAATGAGAGTATACTATGAAGATTTGTCAGCCAAGAAAATTAATGCTTTCCTTGTATCAAAGAATAATAAACTTCATAGAACTCAAAGTTCAGAGAATTGTTATTTCTCCTGGTAAATTTATAGATCATGCACACTTTCGCAGAAGCATATGTCGCTTTATACGAATTTTCAGAAAAGTCAATGATTGTCTGAAAATCCAAACTATGGCGTAGAAAAAAAGTTTGTTTTTTGTCAACAAATGTAGTTTTGACTAATAAAATGTGGAATTGTAAGGCAGCACACATACAAACCATCTCTCTTGATGTAGGTATGATGAAAGGACTTACACCGCATCTCTCTAAATGCTCATTACAACAATTATGCCTCCTTTCAAATAAAGTGAAAAAAAAGAGTTTTGCAAGAAACTAATATAAGGTAAGGAGTCGTTTTAGTGTACTTTTACTTTTTCGGATCTAGATAAAGACATGTTTCATCATAGATAAAACAAGATTAGATTCTATTTATTTTGAAGAGATGAAAGAAAAAAAAAAACTTGTAAAAAAAAAATGAAAATGCATTATTAAAAATAACACACAACATATATGGCATTGTAGGACAAATAATTTTGCTCATAATACGAAATTAGAGATCATGCAGCTGTATAACTAGTTGTCCATTAAATATTTTATTAAAAATAATTTTTTGTGTTTTTTTTAAATTTAATTCTGTTCTTTGATCTTTTAAACAAATAAATAAAATCTTATCTTTATTTTATCAAAATAAAAAAAATAATTCACTTTCTTCTTCAATAGTGGCAACTTTTCTAGTCCTATTATTTGTTTTCAAAAGTATAAAAGATAAAATGATAGCTATACTGCTCATCTTCATTATTTTTTTCAAAATATTCATTACGTTTGTATGAATTTTTTGTTATTCAGTTTTACATTTAAACATCGCTATCGATACTTGTGAGAAAACTTTGGAAAATCATGTTTTCAAAAACCACATTTTCTCTTTGAACTTTTTATTATTATGCTATTGGATATAGAATTCAATTCTGAATAAAACTGAGTAAAGATTAAATTGAACCTTGAGAGTATTTAGGATGTTTCGAATTAAAAAAAAACAAGAATGTCACAAGTCAATCAGAAGAAGGACTAATGCAGAATTTTACGGTAAATTTTGTGAGAAAGTTGAACTTTTAATGGGACCTTCATTAAGCGATTGCCATCATTTTTTTGTGGTTTTTTTTAACAGTCACCAGTGGACGCCTATGTAGCTGTTCTTCTTTTGAACCTTTCGCTGATAAGAGAAAATTGTTCAAGAAACAAAGTCAACAATAGGAAAGTTTCTTTTATTATGGAAAAAGAAGAGAAAAGTGAGTGGAAATTCAGTACAATTTCTTCTGGAACATCCATACGAATGCCTGAAAACTAACCTGTCATAAATGCTTAATAATGATTCATATGAATATTTTTATTTTGTCAAGTAGCAAATAATGAAAAAACTTTATCTATAAAAAAGAATCCAAATTTTTGTAATTCAATGATGCTTTTGAATATTGAATCTATATATAAACTTATCATTTTTCGATGATAGAATATTCTAATCATTAAAATTAATATAAGGTATACAATTTTCTATTATTTTTGACACAAAATCTATTCTTATGACACCAAATGGTTAATTTCAAGGTTAGACTTCTTTAAAATAAAAGATTAGCAAGCAAAAATCGGATGAGAGCAATATTTACAATTTATTAAAAGTACAGACTCAACCAAAGATATTGGTTATTGGATAGATTAATCTGATTGCGTATCTCAAAAATATCCATTCTTTCTTATTTTATCTTCAATATCCATATTTAATTTTCTGATATTTTACAAATATTCATTCTTCATATAAATTTACAAATCTTTTCTAATAGATGTACGTCTCACCACCCCCCTCCCACCCTTTTCTCCACACATATATATAACTCATGTTGATTTTGAATACTTTTATATCCATCGAAAACAACAATCATAGAATGTGGAAAACTTTCTGTGCTCTTGTTCTTATTGCTTCAATGATTGAAGCTAAACCACCACGAACTGATGTTACTGTCTCAGGTACATCAACTGTTGGCTCAATGACAAATCAATTATAGCTTGTTTTTTTCATCTGAAATTAGTGTATATGATATTGTTGCTGGCCCTCCATATTATTGAGCTCAAGATAATATGATGACAGCTATTAGTGCATGTATGAAAGGTCTAGCTACATCTGTTTCCGTCACAAATATTAAAAAAAATAAATTAAAATCATATATTACAACTAATACTCCTGATTCAACCTCAAATGTAAAAGATAATCTAGTATATATATTTCGTGGTAAAAATGATCAAACAGTTGTTACCACTGTTGTGCAACTCAATGAACAAATTTATTCAAAATTAGGTGCTAATATAAAACCTAACTGCGATATACCAGTTAACCATGGTTTTCTAACAGAAAATTTTGATGAAAAATGTGAAACACCTTATGCAACTAATTTTATTAATAATTGGTATGTACAGAGAAAGTAAACAAAAAGAAATTATTTAAATAAACATTGTTTACTTTTTTTGAAATAGTGATTTTAATTTGACTTATGATATGTTAAATCATTTATATGTTGGTGATCTTATTGAACCATCAAGTGAAATGCCAACATCATGCGTGGGGCAATCTATTGCTTTTGATCAAGCAGCATTTATGAATCCACCAGTTGTTGCTAGATCAGATTCAAGAGCTACAGATATTTTCTCATTATGATCAAACAGGATACAAGCAACAATGACTTTATACAAGCCATGAAAATTTTTACTATCATTTAATTTAAGTAAATTTACATTACCAAGTATTACACTTCCTGGTATAATTTGAACGTCAGCATCTAGTGCTGGATTTAATTTTGATACAAAAGGTTATGTTTATTTTCCATCAGCTTGTAATGATGGAAGGAAATGTTCAATATATGTTGTTCTTCATGGATGTAAACAAGATGCGTTTTATTTATTTCTTTAATATATAATTTGATTGTTTGTCTTTTCTTAAGTAAATCATTTATTGGTGATGTATTTGCTAAGAAAGTAGGTTATTTGGAGGTTGTTGAATTAAATAATATAATTATATTATTTCCACAAGTTATTCAATTAGCATGGAATTCTCAAAATCCAAAGGGTTGTTTTGATTGGTGGAGTTATGGTTCGGTTAATTATACTAATAAATTAGGTTTTCAAATGTCAGGCCTTAAGAAAATGATTGATAATGTACGAGCTATCAATATTGCATCAGTTTCCAAAAGGTAAATTTTTAAATTTTGTTGAATATAGAAATTGTACTAATAATTAAATTTCAAATAAATAATCCAAATCATTTACAGTACAAAAATCTTTTATAGAAATATTGAAATTCTAGACGAGCTCGTGAGATGTGCTGAAAATCAATTCTCATATTTCTCCTTGCCATACATCTTGTGTTCTTGTTCAGTTTAAACTTTCTTGGTTATTCCGTTACGCTTCATTAATAGTTTTAGAAGTATCTCTTTGTGTAAACATAATATTCTTTTCTTTCTTGATGTATCATTATCAAAAAAAAAGACTCCCGCGAACCGGAGTCGAACCAGTGACCTAAAGATTACAGTTGTTATACATCTACAGTCTTCCGCTCTACCAACTGAGCTATCGCGGGTTCGTTATGTCTATCTTTAAGACTGAACGACCGAAGGTTAAATAAATAAATGACTTATATATTTCAATAAAATTTCCTGTATTAAGAGAGCTTCCATGAGCTGATCGAGCATCGCTCCAACATACGAGGCACTCGATAAAATTTGTTTTTTCGATTTTTTTTGCTCATTCAAAACTTCAATATCTAAAACTACTAACCCTAA